AACTGAAATATCGAGGGGATAGATGTCACTTGATAGCAGTAAGACAGTCGCGTCCGACAATGTCCCCCACGTGCTTTACAGCAAGACAAGAGCAGACACGGTGGCTTGCGTGTGACCTCTTTTACGGGGATAGTAGACTTGCGCTGTATCTACCACACTCTCTCCTCCCCAATCTGGGCCCGGTGTCTAGGCATAGTTAAAAAGTCCGGAGGCGAGAGAGGGCGCAGGTGGCTGGCACGGCCGGAACCGTACTTAGGCGTGCCACCACACCCCCTGGTCCACAACAGACACTTGACCAGGATTTCGACCAACAATAAAAATGAATCGGAAAGAGGAGAGGATAACACGACGCACTGGGTAACCGTGCGCACGGCCTGTATGCCCAGCGAGAACGCAGACCCATCCACCGACGGAGAACCAGGTGCCATAGAACCTCCAGCGCACACCAGGCTGCGAGGGCCATGGTTTGATGAATCATAGCATATCAAACGCACACAATCCTCAAAGCCCAGAGGGATGAGACACAGCCCTGGTTTTAGCCTGGACCATCACTCCTGAAAGGCCGGATAGCCAGTCAGTCATGGACTGAGAGACACTGCACATACAGGCCAGTGCCAGAGGTCATGTTAAGAAGCAGTCGTTGCAGTTTTTCTCTCCGTTCTGAGGGGAAGATAGAGCTATCCTGTCGGTTGGCAACCTTCAAAGTCATGATTTTTAGTACGTCGCGATAGTCCAGAAAACACGCAGATTGTTTATAGTGAGGGATATGCGCTGAGTATCGGCGACCCCCTCCCTCCCCTCATAATGGAAGGCCTCTTTCTGCATGTCGTCAGCGTCCAGCCTCCCGGAGCACACTGAAGCAAAAGTAGTGTCAAGAACAGCACTGCGAATGCCCGCCAGTTTAACCCCCAATCCCATATGATCCCATCGTATAAAGGACGCTCTAGCTTGCTGACTCAGAGCGGTTGCGACACCGCATCAACCAGAGTTGTCAGTTGGTGTAAACTACTGGGAATTTATTGCTGGGCGGTTCATGATGGGGCAAGCGCCACTCGAAAACGTCCACGTTGACTGCCATAACGCACCCCTGGCAAGGCTCTGCAGTTTCAATGCAAGAATAGTTTTCGCTCTCTAAAATTCGATGCGCATTCCTCTCTTCCTTCCGTTGAGATCAGCAAAACAACCTGTTGATATCCGAACGCATCGCTTGTCACGGGCCCTGCTAGGTAATCCAAGAATTGTTATTGGTTGCCTTGAGGTCGTAGAGTTCCCTTGGTTGGTACTACTGCGGTCCCCAAGTTCTTTGAAAGGCAGCAGTGCTAAGGACATCTATTAAGTGATAGTTCGTGCATGCCGTTTTATGGTGACGTTGCCAGACTTGAAATGCATTTATAAGATAATCAGTTTGAGGATGACCTAACCTCTGCATCCCGATACCGCTGACAGTGTCGCATTTCTTAAGTCTTATTGATTCAGTATTGTCCCTAGGCCAAGGTGGTTGTAAGAGGAATATGTAAAACCGACGCTGCACAAACCACACATAGTGATCCCAAGTCCGAGTCGTCATTCCTCTTTCGTCGCGGAAGTTATTGTTGTTTTTTTTTCTTTTGCAATACTACTTCGACTAATTAGGTAGACATATTTGCGCATCACGCCCTTGGCAGCAGTGAATCCGAACCCACAGCTTCAGCTCCTGTGACTGGGATTGTAATTTGCCTTAAAATGTAATTGTGCGCACATTTTAGTTGATCATGTTCCTTCTGAAACCGATATACCCACCGAACCACCGGAGGTCTTAACCGACCCGGCTGACTACGCCAAACACCTCGAAGAGTTCAAGCCTACGGCCTGGTCAAGCCTGCCAGACAATCCTTTCTATGAGACCGCGGACGTCTTCTTCGATCTTCAGGGAGAAATTGTGCCTGGTAGGGGTCAACATACTAGAAGGGTTGAGGTGACCTGTCGAGGACGCTACGCCTATCAACTTGACGAATTCGACGCCTACTTAAGGGTAAGATTGTTCTTAACCATCGCGTAACAAACGGATCATTGTCGATGCTAAACCTGAAGTCTAGTTTGTAAAAATTTAGACTGTTGAAACCGACCTAAATACTCCGATTGGCTTGTTGTTAACTCCATGAACCGCATACTTTGTTCAAATTATACTGAGTTCTGCGTTGGAAGCCCAATGTAATAAAAACCGCCAAACTACGAGTATAGCTTACTGTCGTAGTTTGTAGAAAAGAGGAATGACTATGTCTGTTTTGTATGCACTTACAAACACGTTATACCCTACTGGAAAGCAGAGTAGACAAACGACTGCTTCAGCTGACCAACTGAAGTAGTGCATACTTGGCTGTCGCCTGTCAGGGAATTGGTGATTTTGGCTGGCTAATGATAATAAATGAGTCAAAAAGGTCAACCTGTACTCGTTCCGTTCGTGTAAAGAATATGCCCTTGTCAGTTGCCTGCGAGGGCTCTAAATCGCAGCGTTCGTACTCCGTCTTGCAAGAATAACAGTTCTGTCGACGATATTCACATGAGGCATTGGAGTCTTCTCCGCACACGAGGTGACGCCAGTTGAACAGGCTCTAGGGTTAGAAAATAGTCCGCTCCCGATAGGCCAAGAGGAACGAATTACCGAATACTACATATAATTGACAGGCGTAAATGTCAAAATATGGGGAGGCGGGCAGAGAGCCAGCGACTAGTTTACGCCAGAATTTTTCTAACTGTGGGTGCCTTCCTACTACTCCTGGTTTGCTCTAATGAAATTTCATGGTTGTTATTGTACTTAGAATGTGACTTATAGCAATCAACACTAGTTGATCCCTCCAGAATTAAAAAAAAGGCAGAATTCCACCTACCTCGTTTAGGACTTGCTGATGGCGACCAACTAGTGCAAGCGTGGATTAGATTCATAAAATATACATACGATCGGGTAAGTACGACATTTCCGGTGGTACACACCGAATAAAGAATCTTGATGAATCTAAAGGGAGAAAGAAGCGGTATCTAAAAAGACCTGGTCTTTCTTGTTCAAGTGGAGGCTGGAGGTTACTCGCATTAGGAATGAACAGAGTAACAGTCCTCTCTCGCGGATCGTGCCTTCTTCCCTTTCTCCTACTCGCGAGTTCGAATGTCAATCAAATGCACCTGGCGGTCTGCGTACCCTATTTCACATGCCTTTCAAATGAAGGTATTTCAAGTATCCAACAAATCATGGAGTACAGGTGCCTAGCTATTAAATAAAAGTCGTTGGCCACTGAAATTAACACTATGCAATCGCCCAGCGAACCACACATAGAAAATGCTGGATATATGCTGACAGGACTTAGTAGCTCCAAATGTGAAATCGAAGATCAGCAGATCACTTTCATTCCGGGACAAAGATTTTCTGCCCATCTGACTTTCGGGTTTCCAAACTCCCTTGTTGCAATAAAGATTTTCCAGTCAATCGTAAAAACCGTCCTAATGCTGCATGCGAGAGTCCCATCTCCACTCATAAACATGTGGAATGTCAAGTAATAAGAGGACCAAACGATAGACTGGCCAACAAGAGATTTCTCCGAGCCATGTATGACCTCGAGATTCTTTGGATACGGAAAGACTCGGCTCATAAGTCTGGAAAGAGACAGTTCTCGACAGATGTTCTATAATATTTTGGAGACACGAAATTAACAAACCGGAAAGCTATCCTCCTGCAACAACCGTGAACATGCAGAACCCCAATATCTCTCGGGGGGGAGTCACCGCTGACTCCGCATAATTCGATATTCTTTCACCGCGATGGCGGGAAAGGCCGTAAATCGTTTACCAGATTTGGTACAATTCCGGGCTAAACAACTACGTTGCGAATCTGGAAAGTTGCTCTGGACAGCTAGCTCTTAGACGGCGGTTCATTCGACCAGACCGTGGCACATCTTTACTTTTGACGGGACCGAACTTCTCACATGAGTTGACAACTGCGTGAGCTGCGAGCTGCTTTAAGTATAGTTCTCCGACCCGCATCCAATTAATGAGTTCAATGACCTTGCACCTCAATACTCCGTGCTGGGGTTTTGTCTGGGCGAAATAATTAGCAACATGGGAAGGGCGAAGGCGACCAATAGTTCTGGTGACAGTGAGCCAAATGACCGAGTAATCATCATGCCAAGAATCACCAACTCGAGTACGGACCGAAAAACAGCCATTGCATCAAATATGGCCCTCAACGATGCATGCGAGGGCTGCTAATTATTTGAGACACGTGGTTACTGCCAGGTGACGGCGTCCTACAAACACTGCACCCCCTGTGCCTCTACCACCCGTTTGCTCGGCCTTCTATGATGATGGGTTTGCGCGAGAATCCGAGACGCCAGGCCAATAACATCCTTGCTCCAGCGACTGCATTTTCTTTTTCTGAACCGGCCCATTACCTTTTATTGGTAGTAGACAGTACTCTGGACTGCAACCGACTTGGACATTGAGTCCGCGACGCAATGACAGAGCGCTAGACCTAATAACACCCTATGACGTAGGAACGCGGGTCGGAGACTCGGGTTCAAATCAGATCAGATTTATTAAGGAAAGGGTAGGCGAGCGCCTTTGCACTCCCTGTTGGTTACAATAACGTCATAAAAACAATGTGTAAGGCAAGTGTCAAAGAAAATATGGTAAGTGTTTGCATGCAACTAGCTTTGGTTACTGGTATAAATTTGTCTGTGAATGCCTTCTATGTCAAAATTGTACAACAACCAGTACGCGGTACTGCATAGGCCAAGTAATGTCGAAGAAAACGTATATACTTCAGCCAGCCGATAACGAAAAGTCATAAAATAATGCCAATTAAACATAGGGAGTAGCATACTTGGCAACGTAAAACTTTGGTGGTGGTAGGGCTGGCTGATGAGGACAGTAAGCCAGAAACGGTCAACCCGGTCCCCCTTGTTTTTCTAGGTATGCTCCATCTGTATATCATACAGATGGACTGCGACCACTTATAAGGGTTTTGAAATGAACTCCAGGGCACTATTGAACCAGCCGTTGAAATCGCGTCAAGCATGGGATTTATTAGTCCTTTATATAACTGTTAAACGACATCGAAATGTGAATGATGCTTGATTTTTTCGAGGACAGTACGCAGTTTTTGTGCCTTAATCCAGCTCATTCAGGAGCTGAGATTAGATGCACACTAATAATAATGCCCCAAGCCTATCGTGGCCAGAGTTGGGGACAAAAATTCCACGAGTATATCAGATCTCGGTAACAAACTGTTCAAGAGAATATGGGCACATTTATGGCGGCAATGGTGGTCCTTCCCAGTAAAACCTCCCAGTCTGCAGTGGATTCCACCTATCGTTGTAAGAGAAATCTTAGTGTCACAAGGTATGTTAAGAAGTTTATGGTCATGTAATTCGAATGCAGACCTCTAACTACTGTAAAGTACAACCCAACTGACGACAACAATCAGGCTGGAGCTAAAAGCTCAAATTCATTCTGTCTTTCTAGATTTGTTCATTTTTAAGGGCGAATTTGAAGGATTAAGCTTCCAAAGGGAATAATAGATCGTGACATTAACTCCAAAATCAATAAGATGCGTCGAATTCCCCCTCCACCCATAAATCGTTTTCTCATTCCGCTGATAACGCCTGATCCCGTTTCTAGATCGCCGACATCTCTCAGCCGGGACAGTGTGTCAACCATCTGGAAAAGTGCCCCGAGGGTATCTCTGTGGGTGCGTGGATCTCCCTGCCTGCTAATCTGACAGCTCAGGAAAGGCCTCTTAGCCTTTTCGAGATCGCTGGAGAGCTGAAAGTCGCCGTTTACGGAGAATTCCTACATGTTTTTGGTAAGCAGCATTCCAACATATTCTTGCTTCGTGTAAATGTGTTGCGGATCTAAGTGTTATCTAATTGCGCTCAGAAAAATTTTCATGTTCATCCAAGTGCGCCTCGAAATTGAGCGTCTAAAAAAGTCTAAGACAGTCTCATCAACTTTACAGTGTCATTTGTGTAAATGGCGCTGCTGTATGCTGCAAGTACCCTCAAATGAAGTTTTCTCAACATTAGCATCAGTATGTATCAGCATCAGTGCATTTTATGGAAAGTAGGTGTGTACCTTTGAAATCCCTATTGGTTGCATACAGAGGAAGTATATAGAGAAAATGGAAAAGAAGTAACATGAAAGAAATACAACGGGGATAAAAACTGTACAGATGAACACAGAATGACATGCCTCAACGGAATTTAGAGGCACATGAGCTCGGTTTGTTGAGTAAATGCAGCAGAAAGTTGAACCACACTTAAGATAAAGGAAAAGAAGTAAAAAATTTTAGTCTACAGGCGTCGCGGTGAATGCGAGCAGCGGTGTGCGACGTGGCCCCAAAGTAATAAATTACATAAACATATGTTATTTGAAGTTTGGTAGTAGCATCGTCATAACACTAAATTGTTAACGTTGGCTATCAAGGTGGCCGTAGTCCGGCGTTATTGTGGTGCGCGCTCCAAAATTGCTCTGGCCTCCGTTTAAAAGTATCTACGGATCCCGGCCGACATAAGAACACCTTCAGACAAGGCATTCCAAGCTGCAACCACTCTGTTGGAGAAGAAGAACTTTCATGTGTCTAGCCGGGCACCAGTCACATGCAATTTGAGTGGATGGCCTCTCGGGTTAGTCGTAGTCGCCAACTCGAAGAAGACACCTGATGCGAGGCAGCAGCCCTGATTGCGCACGATGCGGAAAGCTTGTATCAGGTCCCCACGTATCTGTCTGTAACTCAAAGTAAAGAGGTCAAGATTAGCTAATCGTGTTTCGTAGGGTAGTGACCACTGCCCAAATACAAGTTTCGTTGCTCGCCGTTGAACTTTTTCGAGTATGCCGAAGTCTTTAGCCGTCCAGGGTCTCCATACTTGGATAGCAAACTTCAGATGCGGTCGCACGAAAGTTTGAAAGTTATTGTTGAAGCAGACTTCATCAAAGGAGGAGAATGCCCGTTTGACGAGGTATAGAATGGACATCGTCGACTTGGCCACCTTTGAATATTGCAGCGAAAGGCCTAAGCGAGGTTGTGATCCGTACACTCAAGTCCTTCTGGGCGTCAACTTCTTGCAGTGGTTTTCCAGTCAGACGGTAGACCGTGCGGTTAGGAGAACTGGTTCCGCCGACGCGTGGGAAGTAACATTTCCTACGGCTAAGAGGCCTTTCCTGAGCTGTCAGATTAGCAGGCAGGGAGATCCACGCACCCACAGAGATACCCTCGGGGCACTTTTCCAGATGGTTGACACACTGTCCCGGCTGAGAGATGTCGGCGATCTAGAAACGGGATCAAGCGTTATCAGTGGAATGAGAAAACTATCTAAGGCTGGAGAGGGATTTCGACTCATCTTATTGAATTTGGAGTTAATTAGGGACAATTAATTTTGCACGTGGTACTGCGAGGGTTTCAGAAGTCAACCTTTTTCGTTAGACTAATCCTGAGTTGGGGCTTATAAGAGGTTACAGAGGCTCGAAAACCTAGCAGCACTCCGTTAATTCCCGTTAAAGTTTCGGCAATGAAAGCCCAGGTCCACCCCACAGTCTCATGGTCGTTTGCATAGCATGAAGGCCTCAGTAATGAAACACAACAGTTTATTGGCCGGAAACCCTGTTTCTCCTGTTTCAGTCTTTAACGGCAGCCACTGGGGCACTACACGGCTCACTAATGTCCCGCCACGGAGTGTGACCTTCAACTTGGGCATATCAGTGCCAGGGGGACTAGTAGAGGGCGTGGACATCTTCATTAACGGCTACCAAGGTGAGACCATGCGCCTGGGAGCGCCACCCCCACCGGCTGATCAGCATTCTGCAGTATCCCCTGGCGAGTGGATCCTCGGCAGCTGGGAACAGAATGCTGCCGCCAAGGGAGCCACGGTCTCGGACCTCGTGGGCTGGAAAAGGTTCTCCCTACCCTCAGAAGGCCACCGTTTTCTGGGATACACTCGTAAGCATGGCATTTATTCACTATTTTCAACAATGCGTCAAATTCAGAGACAGACCTCTCATCCTACGAATGTATGGACTTCAGCCTACATTGATATTGCACTTTCGCGCGATCTCACCGGAGTTCCAGTCATGTTCCAGTTTGATCCTCCACCAGTTGCTAACTTGATGGCTTTTGTTTCCACCACCATTGTCGCCTGTGTTGGCCTAACGAGTGTTACTGCTGCGCAAGGTATGGGCGACTGGCTGGACGTGGTGGTAATAGCTGCCGCCCTAACTATTCACATTGAAAAGTCAATTTGGCAAACACGTGTTTTCGGTAACTCGTCATCAGACCAAAACAGTTACATAGAAATTGAAATTATGCGAAGTTACAGGGCTTATAAGTAATTCAGGGGCTATTAACACTCACCGTCCCCAAGCCACTCGCATGGCGAGGCGTGCTATGGCGTGGTCGGCGTGTTGTGGCCAATGGGTCTAGGGGCGAGAGGGAGGGGGGCATAGGCTGTGGGTAATGTTTGTACGTCGGGTACGTTGTGCACACACCACTGCCATCAGGAGGTTGGGACGATGCGCAATCATCATCTGGGGTCGGCGTTCGCCACGGAGACAGACCGCCTGTGTCAGCGTCGTCTGACAACATAACACTGGATTGGCTAGCCGTATAGCCACTGCCTTGGCGTAAGTCTCTGGAGAAGCTTGCTGGTGTCCGGTAGACAACCTGAAAGGCTTCTTTGGCATCGACTCGGTGATTCGTATCCACAAGATGTGCGAGAATAGAACTCGAAATCGATTTCTTCTCACCTTTGCCTAGCCAGGCCGGTATGTGTTCACGTACTCTCTTTTCCAAGCGCCTCGTTGTGCGGCCAATATATCCCCCCAACAGGAGCAACTGAATGAGTAAATACATATCGATGTGGCCTGCAACGGGAGGCGCTCTTTACCTCCCAAGCGTAGGAGGGGAGAGTTCGTAAAACATACACGTAAATTAGCTGAGGGGAAAGCGCTAGTGATCGCTGTCTTCAGACGTCTTCTTACTAGGTCACTTGCTGCGTTCCCCTGAAAAGGCAGTCTTATAAATAAGTCTTTCTTTTCTGCAGTTGCTATGGTGGGCTTTGCAGTACGCTCCCTTATATTTCGGAGGATAAATCTTTCTGGGTATCCGTTTTCGTGGAGTATATTCCACAGCGGCTGGAGTTCTGCATCAACAGTCTCAGGAGAGCAGATGCGTCGCACTCTCGCTGCGTTTAATATTTAGAGGAGCAAAACTGTGAACATTAATGTATTGTCTCGTTCAGGTTTTCTTTCGGAATACCCAACGCTGGATAGATCCATTTTCTTGTCTGTGCAGAAGAACACCGAGGAACGCGATATCGTTGCCTGCCTCAAACTCTGCAGAGAACTTTACCTAGGGGTGTGCATTGTTGAATTTTTGAACCAGGGCGTCTATGCCGGTGGTAACATCCGTCAAACTGAGACGAACAATGTACTCCCCCCGCCCCCAAATGATGGCGGTTAATGACCTAGTTAATGGACAGACAGTGGCACGCCGCGCATGTGTGCACCCACCTCCCTTTTAGGACAATGTACGGCCGCGTGCCCGTGGTGAGCGATCGCCCCAACAGCCGTCTTAGTTGTCTAAGGCGCAGTTCCTTCTGTCGCTGGGAGAACATACATCGTGGTAGGCAGAATAAGCCGCATTCCGGTAAACAGACTTACGACCGGAAAAGAAACATCACTGGCCACTTATTATGTCGAATAGATTTATCCTACTTTCTGATGCAATGTGCGCTTCTCATGGTAATTTCTTCTGAACGCATGGCGACCGTGTAACAGGGTACTTGTAATGTTGGCCAGAGTAAGACCCCCGAACGGACTTCCAGGTACAAATCACGGAAAAAATGGTCGAATATAAAATGGTCGAATGGCTTGTCCAGATTTTCAGCTTCATCCTACATGCGTCGCTGGAAGTAAGAAAGCAACAGAGCGAAAAGTGGAAATATTATCAATTAGTCAGTCAATCAGTCAGGACAGTCAGGCGGCACGGTGATTTTGTTACTGGCTGATCATGCAATGATCTGTGCCCGTGAGTCTAGCTGCAGAAGGCTTAGCGAGCGGGTAGTGAGCTGGACATATCTTTTGGGCGATCTGTGTCAGGACGATGCTCACTTCTGGTTTCCTGACTAGTTCGGTTAGGAAATGGCGAGAAGATCAGATGTCAGACTTTGCCAGCCAGAAATAGCTAATGCGTACGCCCCTACTGTGCAGTAAACTTGGGATGTTCTCCCCCACCTTTCCAGGTGAAGAACACAATCTCCTGCGCAACTCGGATCACTTCTGGACGACCGATGCCTACATGCTACACGACGCAGAATGTATTTTGCAGTTTTTAAGGGCGGCCACAGATTTGGACGATGATGCGCCAGCAACAGCGACTGGAGTACCCGGATTTAGTCTTTCTTCCCTATACAAACCATTGGGCATTGATCCGTTACGCTACATGTTCGATCAGAATGACAAGGGCCCTGTTCCTGTCTTCAGTATGCAGAAGAAAGAATATTTCATGCTCGGTATGTATTTTGTTTTTGAAGACTGGCGTGCCCTGCAGTCAAATTGATTCAGTTTGGATTCAAGTGAAGTATCCTCTTCTAGACCAAGAAAATGGAAATAACAACGAAACTCTGAAAAAAAAGAGAAGGCAGAAAGATATTAGTTGGGAAATGCCGTATACCTGAGAATTTATTTGAGTTTTTAACTAACTACTGAAACTCAACACAGACCTTTATTCACCATACTCCTAATAACGAGTCAAGTTACGGGCTCTTGTTACTGAATTCATTGTTGCATCCCCTGTATCGCTAAGCTCTGGCAGCTAACACTAACTTGTTTCGGTCTACGCCAGAGTATCGGATCTTGGTTTCAATCAATCAGGTTTTGATGTAGATGCCCTGAAATCACTAATGCGAACGCTGAAAATGCGAAATAAAGCTGCCCTGTTCTGCCTCTTTAGGTCGACGGAAGAAAAGAGTACCTGAACCAGACGATATCTCCTGGGCGGACCATTGTCTGCACAATCCCAGCGAAGAGACGTGTGGTAGCAGTGGGGTCACGCTCTCGCTCTGGATATCAATTCAGTCCGTCGGCCCCTCAAGACTGCGATACTTTTTGAACTCTGGAGACGTCGGCGATTGCTCCAGCACTGCTTCGGCCGACTACACCGGCTGGGCAGTGTTCACGCATGGCACTCTCCTAGGGGTGTCTGTCGGCGAGACCGACAGCGACTGGGAACTGATGTTAGATTCAACAAGCTACAATCTGGGTAAATTTTAACATCACCGTTCCAAGTGTTGCCTGGAATTTGAGAGGAGTGGGTATTGTCTGACGGTGGTTATCCCAAAATTTTAGACACTTGGGTCAACCTTGGCGTGATTTGGTGTCCAACGGTGGGTCTGACTCTGCTACTCAACGGTGAAGACTACAATATGCAGACAACAGTACCCGAAGTCTCCAAGAAGACTGGTCAAGCCCCGCCCTACGTGGTTCTGTCGCGTTACAACACAGATGACTCATCTACATGGCTGACTCCTTCTGAAGCCGAGGAGCGTTCGAACGACCCCATCAACTATCCTCTGCCTGTGACATGGGAGCTGGCCGATTTTGCTTTTTCTCACGCCGCTTTCGTGAGCCAGGCTATGGAGCCGTTTGAATATGCTCAACACTTTGGCTTCCTAGGCAACAGACTCATTAGTCAGAATTCTAAATACCTGTGGTTTGGAAATCAACTGACAGATCCCAAAGTCGGCGACCTGCTTAAGGCTCGCCGTATGAAACTTCAGCGTAATCCCGGTCCTGTTAGTGTCGATGGCAATTCTGAAAGCTTCTTCGTCACCTACAATGAACAGATTCGATCAGTGGTGCTGAAGAAGGAGACCATGATCACAGTCGGTCCACTCGATCCAGAAACCTGCCCCCAAAATATGTCCGCCTGCGCCAAGGTAACGAAACACAGTCAAAGTTAACGAACCTAGATTGTTCGCCTTTTACTTTCCTCAGAAATCAATGTACAAACTTGATGAAAATTTTTCGGGATGGGTATCTCGAAGTTAGCTTAGAAGATTAATTTGAAGATTTGGACTAAACTCCACCACCACCATCACCACCAGAATAACGACGAGGCACGGGAAAATGGGTCGCTCGTATTGCAGATTGTCTTGCGCTTAATTCCGAGGGTTAGGATGGAGACTAGAGTAAGGAAAGTTAGGGGAGGTGTAATGTTGGGGCTAGAGTTAAATGTAGAATACGGGAATAGGTACCCCTGGAATTCAGTGTAAGGCCTCTTTTAATACAGGGGATCCGTATTCCCGTGTCGACCCGAATAAGTGCGTAATATTCACAATCTGTCCACATTTAGGACGTCTTTACTACTGCTCTCTGTGACCATACTCAAAACTTTATCTTTGATTTCATTTAACCATTCCTTTGTAAATTTGACTATTTTTCTGTATTACATGATCCGTTTGTACGAAAACTGTTTTAGGGGTTCACGGTTGGTGGCTGGTACTCACTCGTTGCGCTCAACCCTACCGGTGAACATAAAAACCACTCGGAACCTGTCATTCTCCTCTCCGGTCTCGGAGGAAATTTTGGTCTCGCGCTGATCGAAGGCGGTTGGAAAATTTGTGGCTGGGTAGTGCTGTCTTCTGCATCTAAAAACCCAATAACGACAGGTTGTTTTGGTTCCGCTGGAAAACTCACGCTCTCCGTGACCTATGATCAGTGGTTCCATGTTGCTCTCGCGGTCTTCCCACTAGACAGAGAGTTCACAGTGCTGGATGTGCAAATTTTGTTGAACGGCAAGGTCATCGCTGTGTGCAACTACGGTAGCAGTACCGCAGACGTCGATGCCGCCATAAACCGAAGCCGGCAACTCTTTGAAACAACGCACAGCGATCCTGTCTATCTTATCGCCTCGTCAAGCGGTCTCCGGAGTGCCGGACTTGCAGTCTCGGTTATACAGGCCACAACAAATGCTTTTATCCATGATGCTCGCATACACGCTTTCCTGGGTCTACCGCACAGTCAATCTGGTTTCTTTGCGGATGCAACTTTCTACTGGGCAACTTCTGGCTGGCTTACACACCTGGCCCCGCATCGGTTAGTGACCAATGAGGTCACGCGCAGCAAGGGTCGTTATAATGAGGAGAGTATGGCTTTATGCACCAGTGGCGACGCCCAGTCATATATTGTGCTCACAGGCGACACTCGTTCAGGGAGCCTTACATCGAACCTGGCTGCCTCATGTCTTTTCGGCTCTCTACGGTGTCAGGAATTCAGTGTAATGATAGACTTCACCTTGAAGGAGACTCTGTCACCCGACGCAGAAGACAAGTACGTGATCAGTGCACCACCTGGCAACGAAAACGCCAACATAATTGGGTTTCAGCTGATACTTCAACCAAGAAAAAACCAGCTTGCAGTTGTTGTTCGATCATCGCTATTAACTTGTCGTAATCATGGTAATATGAGTCTCCTCGGAGCAGCCAATACGTGGAATTACATCCAAGTGTTTGTCTACAGTACAAGACCGCCCGACATAAAGGTAAATGGCGAGATTCTCAACACCGGAGGAACGGGAGTTTGCGTAATTGAGCGCAATAGTATGGCTCCTGCGAATGGACTCATCTACCCAAGGATTGTGGTTGGACAGAATATCAGCCTTTGCGTAACTGATATCGCCGTAGCAGAAGGAGAGCCCGACTCTGATGGGGGACAAACACCAGATATAAGTCTTTCTCAAACCTGTTACGACGATACGGACTTTGTGTTCGGCCTGGAAGGTAGCGAGCCAAATTTTCTGTCCGTTCCGGGCACGGCGTCGCTTCTAGCTTCCTTCAACAGCTCTCTGCCTGAGCGTCCAGGAACAGGTTGCCTGACCAGTCCTGACACTAGTTGTGACATCTTCACGATTTCATTTTGGTTGATGATTTCTGCTGAAGCCGTGAACAACCGCGAGCCTCATTTTTCCGAGGTAAACCTTCTAGAATAAAACAATGCATGTCTATCTTATCCACGTGTTTATAGAGCTGAGGTACACATGTATTCTACTAAAGCCACGCCGGCATACTTGTCACTCCCCCAAAAGTACTGTGAACCGTGGTATTCAAGTCTGGCGACAACCGGGAAACCGACGGTGAAAATTTAGTAGTGAAGTTCTTGCTTTTGCCAAACAACCTGGTATCTTCACATTATGTTTCTTGGCATGCCTACCTTTCAACATATATATATATATATGTGTGTGCAGTGCGTTATTCCCGACAAAGACAAGGGGACTGGAATGGTCATTTCTGGCTTATCAGCCGTCGTCAGCCAGTCATACCCAACCCCGAAGTGTGGAACACCCCAGGCTCGAACTCGCGACCTGTTAGTTAGAAGTCTAAGCCTCCAAACCACTCGGTCATGAGCCCGTTGCCCTGTCGGTTTCTAACTAACAGGTGGCGAATTCAAGCCTTGGGTGTTGCACACTTCGGGGTTGGTTACGACTGGCTGACGACGGCTGATAAGCCAGAAATGCACTTCCAGTCTTCCTTATCTGTGTCGGTAATAACATACTGCATACTGAAAATTCACGAGTACAACTCGATCCTTTCCGACGAGCCTTCTATCTTCTTCATAGATATATATGTTGAAAGGTAGGCATCCCAAGAAACATAATGTGAAGATAGTAGGTTGTTTGGGAAAAAGAAGAACTTTATTAGTAAATTTTCACTGTCGGTTTCCCGGATGTCGCCGGACTTGAATAACTGTACAAACACAGTCAAAATTTCAAGCGTGCCAACAAATCAACACCTCTCCGACCTTTCCGCCAGTAGGCGTCCGCCCCATACGCTATTGTGTATCGATTAGATCTTGTCTCTTCCACCTTTCCTTTGGAGTTTTGTACATGGCGTTTAACTCATTGTGCCGATTAATGCGTGATTCACCTGAGTACATTGTTTCCATAAACCCTCGACCTTTTTGGTAGGGCAGACGTGATGACGCGAGTCTTATCCCATGCAAAAGCATGCCTGGTGTCTAATGTGTGCATGGCCGTTCGAGATAGGTGGTCTCGCCTCTTAACAGCTAACTGATCTTCGTGAATACGTCTGGAGGCGAACTTTCCAGTTCGGCCACCATATACGGCGTCGCATGTTTCACATGAAATCTTGTGGACGATTTCCTTCTTCTGATTATACTCAGTGGTTGATAATATTTCCGTTGGACTGTCGTACTTTGAGAACCTCTTCCACTTGTTCTGTGATGGCCATGGCAGTCACTTCATTATTGTCCTAGCTGGGGCAGCGGTCACTTCCGATACCGTGCTCAAAGCCAAAAGACAAGAGTTGTGTTGGCGAACAGTTTGATCTTGTTCGTTAGTATGAGTCTCAGTGTGTCGACCCCTGTGACCAACGTACACGCATGAGAAGTTAGCGCATGAGATGCGGCAAACGACGCTAGTTTTCCGCTCTTTAGGAATAAATCTCTCCGTGCAAAGAGGACGCCGGGCTTGTGGATAACGCAGATGCCAAAGTAATTTAGTTCCCGAAAGACCTATTCAAAGTTCCCATAGATGAAAGTCAGGACTCGACCCGCTCTCTCTTGGTTACTAGTCAACGGGCTCGTAATGCTGTTGATTTCGGTCGGGCATATTAACTGCAGTGGAGAAAACTCATTGATCGTCTTACGGGACCTAGTCATCCCTTTGTGCCTTGGGGCTCGATTTAGAGCACCACAGGCAGCCGCACATCGACCAGTAATATTACAGAATGGAAGTGGTTGTGACTAGCTAATGAGGGCTAATGGGACAGAAATGGTCATTTTCTGTCTACTTCGGTAATGCTACTCTGTCTATCAAGCCCCCCCCCGCCATGCAGCAGCTGGCGGAGCTCGAGAGAGAACCCCAAAGCATAACGGGACGTGTGAGTTCCATGACGCTCTCGGCGCGAACTCCCTGACATTACTAATATACCCGATTGTAACCGACAGAACAATGAGCCCGTGACCCAGTTGTTAGAAGCGTTGGACTTCTAACCAACAGGTCGGGGGATCGAGCCCCAGGTGTTCCACATCTCGGGGTTGGGTATAACTGGTTGACGACGGCTAATAAGCCAGAAATGGCTATTACAGTCTCCCTAGTCTCTGTCGGTATTATTACTCTGCATATATTAGGCGCCGCTGCGCGGCTACTGGTTGGGCTCGAGAAGGAGCCTTGAGAGACGACGGGACGAGTGAGTTCCGTAACACGATCGGTGAGCGTCCTTCTACCATTATATATGTATATGCATATGTGTATTTGGATAGAGGCGAAAATGCTGACCCCAGGTGTTGAGATGGAGGAGGGAAGTAAGGCGATCTCTGGGGAAAAAGATTTAATCATCTGAAACCTCGCGCTCATACTCGATCGCATTATCGTAGATAGACAAAATGAGAAATATATGGTTTAAATAGGTCATTCGCACTCCTCTCGCACGTAAGTGGTGTCGATGGCCTCGTATGGCTTTGATACCGCGGATGATCGAGTTTGCGTCTGATTGCCAGACTGCGTTTTTTTTTCTTGCTAGCTTGCTTTCGGCTTTTCTGAGCACTTGAGCACCGTCAAATGACTCAGCCGTCTTCCCCAGAGACCGTCTTACCCTCCTCTTCTATCTATGCTTTATGATACGGCAACGATCGGATGAAGGATCCCAAATACAAACGATCAGCCAAAGGTGCCCGTCTTATGGGTAAGGTGGTAATGGGGGTTTTACGGGCGGGGCACGTGTACGCATAGAGGGATGACAAAATAAGTATAGATAATTGGTAAATTCGTTTTTCGGGCGGAAACTTTTTAATGAGTTGACATATAGCAGCCGAAATTAAGTAGTTCAATTAAACAAATAAACATTAAGTGTCTACAACGATCGCTTCTCAACTCTCTCAGCTGTGCTCACTGTATAATTATAGTAGGTATTCAATGTATACCACAGGTGCTTGGGGCAGGCACCTTTGGCTGTTCGTGTGTGTTTGAGGTTCTTCGCGCGATCGTTACCTATGATACCTTCGCGTGTCTTCATGTACCAGCAGCTTGAAATCAGTGCAAAACAGCTGTATTTTAACTAAGAAATGTGCTGCGAATATGCTGATATAATAATCAAGCCAGATTGCTGAATGCTAGATGGATTCGGCGTGAACAATGCTCATCTATCCAACACGATAATCCATAGAAGGCAAATAAAGAGAATGCGTCCCTCAATTAAGTCCACAATTATCAGTTTGAATTCATAAGCCATTTAATTGACCAGGTTTTACATTATATATAATTCGCACATTTGTGTTCCTAAAAGATTCTCGAATTTTCTTCTAACAGGATGAGCTGCTTGTCCTCTCCACTGGCCCTCCGAAATTCAAGGGTCTGGCAGTCTACGTGCAGTATGAAGCTAGGTCTAAGGGCGTTCACCTTATAGTTGAATATCGGGAAGAAAAGACTTTGAGTCGCGTATTTGCCATCGACCTATTTCAAGTAGGAGAGTGGACAAATATTGGAATAGTGTATGTCGCACCCACAGAGAACAGTGAAGCAACGCTTGAAGTTTATAAAGACGGAGAGGCGTTGGTATCAACAAGTATGCCCATGCCGATGTCTCTACTCCATCTATCATCGAACCCGATCCCTGGAATATATCTCGGAAACTCGGTCCGTAAAATAGCTAATATGTCGGAGGCGAACGTAGCCTCCGGCACTATTAGTTCTCTCGGTAAGTGAAATTTACCGAAGATAAGGCATTAATTTATTTAATATACCTAACGCTAAACTTCATCGTAGGCTCGCAAATGTCACCCAATTCGCCTTGCTGTTAATGACACTTCCTTAAGGAAGAAGTTTCTTCCAATTCAGGTTAACAGACTGTTAAAAAGGCTGGGATATAACAAAACTCAAGAGTCTCTTCTGTACCTACCAAGACAATAGATGCTCTCTAGCTCAGTAGGAACTCCGCACTTTTCGTCGAGTTCCACCATCCTGAGCGGCTGGAAAAATTTCAAATATGCCTTTTCAATCGTAGCTCTTACGACGGTTTCAGTACACAGAGCGGATTTTTGTTCTATACTATCTGCTATTTCCGAGAATTTCGAAAACTTGAAAAAAAGTTGCTTTTAACCTAGCAATCTGGTCAAAGCGGGGAGCATCTTGTGGAACTCCAAGGCAGACAAGAAAGTCACTGCTGGGGGAATGCGCACTTAACGAAAGCATTCCCACTACGGAGGTCTGTCAGAACATCCAGCATTGTACAACCATGTATGGAGGAGTCTGTCTCGATGAAAATCTGGTAAGTCCACAAGAATGGTTATGTTTGCTTTACTTTGAGTACAATAGCGACTATTTCATACGCGGTTCTCGCCCCTCTAAAGTAACCACAGTCAATAAAACGTGTCATTTCTGACTGTGCATCAGCAATAACTAACCCGTTTTCCTTTTAGGCTAATATTTATTCAATGGCCAAGAGCAGATGGCTCATCTACAACCCACTCGGCTTGCTCGAGTTACTACGTGTAGCCAAGCGACTGCTAGCGCTTGCAGAGGGCCATCCGGTGAAGAGCGATGAGGCCAGGCTTTTGTGGGCATCTTCAGCGCTGCTCAGCAGGCTTGCAAACGTGGATTTCAGCGACCCCACTGAGATGAGGTTCTTGGTCTCAGAATTCGCAAGCAATAGTGAATTTCTGCTAGAAATGGTACAATGTATGGAGAGCCCTACTTTTTCAGAAACATGGGTAGGAATGAGAAACCTCACTGCGATGGAGGTGCCCAACATTTTGTCGGTCGTAAGCGGATTTTTAGAGAGCATCTTCGTGTACAGTACCATTGGAAAGCAGGACGTCTCTGTTTTGGCCAAGGTTGAGCAAAATACGTTGGGTTTTTTCAAGCGGCCCGGCGACTTTGGGAGTTGGGCAGATGGCGGTTATCTGATGCCAAACTTCAAGATCCACTTCATCGAAAAAGGACTTCAGGAGCAGCATCGATCTCAGATCTCGAATAGGTCGTCAGACCAGAAAGAAGCCTTCATTATTAGTTTTGCCAGGTTTCAGGCTGTCTCACCAAATATAACTCTTGATCTACTGGCGCTGCCTCGCACAGCTAACTGGACCACTGATGAAGTGCAAAGTGGACATGGTAATGCGAAAGTCAAGGGTCTGCTACCGATCTATAGCGGAATTCAGCGTGTGTCCACGTTACCCACTTATATCTCTGGAAACGTGGTCCACTACGAGACAGCCATTCCCTTAATCGTGGAGAATGAGTACAAGGCCGTAGCATTCGCTCGTATCACAGATGCTATGCACTGGAAAGCTAAGGAGATTGCCAGCGTGGGAAGCTCTGAAATGGAGTTTGGAGTGCAGTGCGTCTACTGGAACGAATCCTCAACTTCTCCAGACAATCGCTGGGATCCGTCCATCTGTACAAAAGTTACTGGTAGCCTCACTTCTGTGACCTGTCGATGCAAACATGCGGGCATCTTTGCAGTTGCAATGGAATCGCCCGAGTTTGGGGGACATCCGGAATCATACTGGAAGGTTGTAGGCGCCCCCAGCCTACGAGTTTTCAATCTGGTCAAGGTGTGCTTAAACGCCGGTGGCAATAGTCTCTCCTTCTTTGCTCTTATCAGCCTCTTTGTTTATCTATACAAAAAGCAAACAGAGTCTGAACTTGCCGGACAGAATAAAATCAAAATTAATTTCACATTGGCTCTGGCAATTTACCACTTGACCTTCATGCTCATCCCCTTTTTGGAACAATTTAAGACTGGCTGTCTGCTTACTAGCATCCTTCTGCATTTATTCGGCTCAGCCTATCTGGCTTGGCACGCCTGTCAGTGCTTTTATCTCTTTGGAGCTTTAATTAATGGATCGCTGGCCAACAGAATCAATCTGTACATTTTTATTGGCTGGATCATTAGCTCCATTACAGTTCTTATTGTCTGTGCTACCTCGGCTGCTGACTACGGCCTGGGTCGATTATGCCTACCTGCAGCAGAATCGTCTGCCATGTATGTTTTCATCAGCCAGACAGCTTTCTGGCTGTTCTTATCTCTCGTCTGCTGCTTTATTCTACTCTGCAATGTGGACACTCCAGCCTACCTCAAGCCACTGATAATAGAAGCGCTTCAGTAAGTTTTCAACTTTCTTTATGGAAGCATGCTGTTTATTAACAACGTAGTTGGTAGTAAACAACCGTGGGTACACTTCTGTGATATCTGATTTTAGACATGGGATGTGGCTGGTTATCGCCCTCACAGCATACATCACTGTCAACTTCCACTTTTTCCTCGCATATCTGTACAGCAACACAGCGTATGTAGCCTTCATCTACTGGGCCTTAAATGCCTTTCAGGTTAGTGGCAAAAATTACATTCATACATCTCTGTCAAAAAACATTTAGTATCCTTCTATGAAAGTTAACATTTTCGTGGGGTTTTTATGAAATGATCGACTACGTTAGACTGCAGTTTTCTGATAGCCAGACCTTCATAAAATAAATAACAGTAAAGCACCCGGCTGTGTGGAACAGAAGATGCGGTTTTACTTTTTTCCTCGTCATAAATCATACACGTTAACCAAGTGAAGAAGATCTAGCATTCAGGTTAATGGGAAATCTGAGAGAAGAGTTTGTTGCATATACATGAGTTTATTCATATCAACCGTCGGTTCGCGAAGTGAGACAAAATCCCTTCCTGTACTTAAGAAGTTGGGCCGACCTGGTATAATGTAGTTGAGTGAACTGACCCAGTGATTCAGTGGCGCCTTTTGGTCCTGATGTTTTGAATAATCATCCCGTAAACAGAATGTACAGATATTTAGGCACTGCACCCAGATTATACAGGCTGGAAGTTACATATCTTCCGCGTTATTAGGCTCTGGCCTCCCCTCTCACTATAATTGTTCCATTAACCCAATCCACTCTTGGCTGAAGTGGAGGGCTACATGTCTGGAATGACTAGTTGATGACTCTTAGATGTCCATCCAGCAGCTCTAGGGGACAAATGTATGCGCGCACGCGTACAAAACATGTACGGTGAAGATGACTCATCCTTTCCTGACTGGCTTCTCCTGACCAATCCTACTAGAACAAAGCTGTCCGCGTAAGCACTTGCCACTGATTCCATCGGGAAGCCTGAATGCGTCTGCTTGCAGCCAGTGCCTTCGCTGAAAACCCTTGAAATTTACAGGAATGACGTAAACCAGTGGAGCACTCGGGGGACACATTAATGAGCTGAAACCCTCGCAGTTTCATCCTGCAGCCATAGAAAATCGGCGCAACGTGTGTTTGAGTTTTGACCATTACCTGCGCTGAGAGAGTGGCAAAGCCATCTGAATGAACAACTAAGCTCCTGTACCCTGGGAGCCCTACGTGACAGCCGAATTAGGCAGGACTAACCGTCGACGACCTACAAGGCAGGAATGGCCATTTCGTTTTCTATTTTTTCTTTGTCAGTACTCCTACATAATTTGCGGCCCTGCATGTTGACAGGAGAGCCTGCTAATCGTGAGTAAAAAAATCGAGATTTGAGTAGCTCGTCGCGACTGAGAAAAGAGGTCTGATCGACTGTGGGGTGAAGAAATTGCTTTGATTGTTCTGGCTGCTCATTCGAATAACAATTTACAGTGCAGACTGATGTCGAGAATGTCTGCAGACTGTCCGGCAATCAGAAGTTAAAAGAAGCGAAAATTTTGGTCATATACTCCTCCTCCCCCTCCTCCCCCTCCTCCCCCTCCTCCTCCTCCTCCTCCTCCTCCTCCTTCTTCTTCTTCTTCTTCTTCCTCTTCTTCTTCTTTTCCTTCACCACCACCACCACCACCACCACCACCACCACCACCACCACCACCACCACCACCACCACCATCATCATCACCAATAGCAGCTGCAGTAGCAACAATCGCTTCAATCTTCAACCTTTCCTGTCCTTTGATTTCTTCTGCAATGTCCATCATAGTACTTGTATTTTACGGCAAACTATTCATTTAGGGATATAGTGGTTAGTGCAGTACGAATACCTTATCTGCCAAGATAGTCAAGCCAGGTCGTGGTTAGCAGGCAAAAATGACGATAGAAAACAGCATGAGAGTCTCACTTTGTACAGGAACCTGAGCCACTGTTTCAGGTTGCGATGACTGCTGGTTAGATCACGGTATGCGCCGATGGCGTTAGATCGCGCTTGATCCAGAGAGCGAGTCCCATTTTTGTTCATTTTTCTGGGTTTCTGGGAGAAAGTAAAGAATCATGTTTCCCTATGGGTCTCGTTAGATTATATAATGCAAAAAAGAGTAAACATATTTCGGTGCATGTGTGTATCCGTGTTGCAGGCGATCTGACTGCTTTTAAGGGCAACAGGCCTGGGAGAGTTCGTAGTGCTGGATAACCTCGACGAGGGAAGATTGTTGAAGGGAGACGATGAGGGACGCAGTGATGGCCGTCGTCTACGGTCACCATATTTTCAGGTTCTTTTAACCGTTTTTATTCACACAAGATCTTCCACAGACCCATATAAGTTTTCTCTAACAGTGTCCAGTGCAGCCGTAAAGTTGGCGTTTTAATGCACTTTGCCATAAATAGGATGTCTATGTCACGATAGATCGCCGACGATGCTGCATGTTTTTGCATCAAGGGTATGGTTTGCGGCTGTGGTTACCCCGGCGAGCATTTACGTCGAACAAGAGCCGAACATCTAAGAACTTTGTGGTATCGAAAATTTCGATCCTCCATATTGTCACCAATTAAAAGGTGACACTGTCTGACCATTTAATAATGATGGTAGTAAATTTAATGCCTCTCTTAAGGCATTGTCAAAAACGTATGGCATTGTCGTTTTTTTTACTCCGATGACTACCTTAAAACATCTTGCCCCACCATCATTCAACAGCTACCGCGAGGTCTTTTTATTCCTTCCTCTGGCAGGTACAAATAAATAATACCAGTAATTTTCTTTTAACACGATTGCTCCCTCGAGTAAGTGACTCCGGCCACAAACCATGCCTTGCCGTTTCTACCTATGGACCAACTCCCTTGTGTCCCTGCTCTGCCAACTAACACAAGGATGAACATGCCACCATGCCAAAAAATAATCAAAGCCTTTACCATCGCATTGCATGAGATATCTTATAAAAGACGGTTATTTGAACTGAAGGGAATTTCGAACTCCGTCCGATAAACTCGGAAGCGCGCAGAATCGTAATTAATTCTTGCATATAAAAGGTCAGCTCTTTTCACCATATCAAATATCAAGGACAGGTAGACAAGAGTGCGTGCTATCCGCATTGGAAATGAGCATTGTACCTAAGATATGTAAATTCACCCTAATTTCGACAGAAATGACAGCAATGAGCACAAAAAGCGTTTGATAATCTTTTGCTTTTTTGTTATTTGAGCCACAGCTGCGACCATTTGCGTTCCATATCAGATTTTTGAAATGCGTCCCAGTTTTCAGTGGTAGAATCACCACTTTCAGGCAATCAGTGGTAGAACTTGAAGGAAGTCGCTTGGGTCACAGTTTCTCAGACCCCGCCTCGAAATTTGTTTCAATACTTTAGTTAAATATCGCCAACGAATTTACAACTTCTACCTGAGCTCCGAGTGCACAGCACAAAATCACAAGAGAAACATTGAGTGACCCGCTTATTAGCCAGAACCGGGCTCTTGAATTTTGAGTCTGTATCCACCTTGGCGGCATAATTACATCGCGTACCGAGGACAAATCATACAACTGATAGATTTTTGCGTATGAACATACGCCGCCAGTCCACTCGAGGTGGATAGTACCCAGGTCTTAAAAATGTTTGGGTCTAACCTGAGATTAGTGTACTGTAAATTTACTCCAAGTTCTAACATTATCTTCCGAATAAAATCCCATCTGGAGAATTACGTGTTCCCCCATCCACCTACTAACTGTTTTGTCGGCAAGACTGTGCTTGAAAATTCCCACCAGTGAACCTAACTTTGTTTTGTGTATGACCTTCGGCTTTACCAGCGCACACTTTCCCTAGCAACGCAATGAATACTTTGGAGCCAGATCGCTCGGTGTCGCTGCAATAGACTTGCAAAATGTGTGGTGAAAACTCGTTGTCAAATGTTCCTTTTCAGGGCGTCATGGTGGCCCTATGCTTCGGCCTGTTGGACGTGAATCATGTCGGTAGGAAAAGACGAAAGAAAGTTCACGACTCTCCTGTTCAAGAAAACTGTATTGATGGGAACGAAGAACTCAACGGCAAGGCACCCTTCGATGAAACCTACCCGACACCCTACGAGGAATGTGAACCGGCGATGGTGGACTACGAGGACTGGGACTCGATTATGAAGGAGAAGGGTGCTTGAAAAAAATGACACCGTTTCCGCAAATGTGATGCGGTCCGCCGAAATGATACAGTTGACCTCTCATGTAATTGGTGTTACCCATCCGCCTCAAGTCTTTACATCGAAAATCGAGATTAAATTCTACTTACGCCACGATAGTCTTCTCCATCCCTCATCACACCACACGTTTATGTTCGCTGGCTTTGCCATTGGTTGGTGAGGGCATCTGCTCTCCATTCATTGGTTAAAGATCGAACCAGTAAGGAAGATTCGACGGTATGCTCCGCCTATCGTGGCTTCACCGATCGAAGGAGAGGCGTTCGTTTTTGGTCAAAAGTACTTAGTGGATTTTTGAGGTCAGCTGGGAGTTTCAGTCAAAGGGCTGGCAGTATGTCGGGGTCTGAAAAGAGTGTGGAGTCAGATGATACTTGAATGAGTGCAGCCTGAACCAAAGTAATCACCAGTCTAAACTGACGTCCGTATGAAAATGCCGTAGTTATTGCATGACATTTAGGCGAGTCAGTTTTTTCCATAAATTCCACTTTAATAAATAACACCTATAGATGCCGGAATAGGTTGCACTCACCAATTACTTAGTAGACATAGGTTACTTGACTCAGCAATTTATTATTGCAGGCCAACGCTAAGGAACATTAAAAGGGAGGACTTACCGTGTGGAGTTGCAAGGGGTGGACCGGCTAAGCAGGGCTTATAGCTTGCGACGGTAGCTAGTAGTGACGAGAACAGCAGCAAGTGGTGTTTTGGCTGTTTTCGGCCCTTCAGGTCATTGAAATCGCCGCCTGCTTAAGTCAAAATATACTGGCCTAGCCTGTGTCGGTTACGAGACATCACATATGGTGGTGTTTTTCAGTCTTGGGGAGTATGCTGTTAACAAAAGTCATAAAACGGCTAGCGAAGTAGGACGATTAGCAAATTAATAGTTTTATCGGGCTATACTGGGGAGGATAGAAATAATGATGTACAAACTGAAAGGGGGCAGCTTTACGCAGGACGTAGTGATAAACTGAACGTTTTCCTGAAACCCAACAAAGTAGTTTGGTGCAAAATAACAGCAACATCTGTGGAGCCAAGAAGTTGAGAGAATACCATGTAGACAGGTGGAAGGAGGCTTTGTGCGATGCGCTAATTTTAGAAACGCCTAACCGTTGACCTGATAAACGAGCGGCCATAATGGAAGCAGCCGACGATGCCCATCGCAGGAACGTTGCATTAAGGGTTGGCTGGCGGCTGTTGCATGACCACTGCTCTGTCAGTGTTAATGATCAACCCAAAATTGACGCAGTCGGCGGCGAGAACTTCCATGCTCCTTTGCGTATCCTCTCCTGTCACGATGTTGAGCGCGCCGTCGTCCGCGAAGAACAGTTTGTGGAGAGTAGTCGTGGATAGACGCGTTGGGGTGTGCATGAGCCGGCTATTGAGCAGATGGTTGTCTGTCCTGTAGACGGTGCGGATCCCGGGGTACTCATCATGGTAGGCATTCATCAGCAAGGCAGAAAATACGCGGCTGAAGGGGTTAGGGGCGAGTACGCTGAGCTTTTCACTCCGTCCATCCCGTCACGAAGCTGACATGCCATGAGCTCAATACAGCTGAGTTTCTGCATAATTTCCCAGACTCCGTCGCGAATCATCATGTTGAAAGCTTTCGTTAGATCAAATAAGATAGTGCAAAGGTAAACCAACACCTCCTGGCACTTTATTTGCAGCTGGGAGGCCGCGATGAGCACGTCAGTTCTTCCGCGGTGGCGTCGGAATCCACACTGACTTTCCGGGAGAGGTGGTTGTTTGAGATAGCTGTTGAGACGGTTGAGGAGGATGAGAACAAAGATCTTCCTGACAATGTTGAACAGCGAGACTCGACTGTGGTTATCGCAGAACTGACGGTTAACCTTTCGCCTGCAGAAGTGGACGATTGTCGGGTCCTTGAAATCATGAAGGACATGCCCTCGGTTGTCACATCTCCTGGAATAGAGCTGTAAGTTTGTCTAGCAGTGGAGATCCGCCATGATTGTTGACTTTTGCCGGAACGGCGTCCGATCCCGGTGGATTCCCGCTGGGCAGTTGTGCCACTGTTCAGATGGTTTCTGGGATGGAGGACGGGAAGCCCAGGTCGTTGTTCGTTTTTACATAGGGAGGCCGGTCGACGGCGGTTCCGAAGATTTTTGATGAGTGGTTGAGGACACTTCTGGTGTGCTCAGCTCAGCGCTTCGGAATCTGCAATTTTCCGTCAAGACTATTGTTCTGTTGGAGATAAGAAGTGGTGCAGCTCCTAGGGTTTTTTTAGATGCAAAAGGACATTCCAGGCTGCCACAGTGAGCGGCCTCACCCTAGCAAGCGACGATGTCCAACCGCTGTCCTCCCGAGGTGGGCCCATGATCCGAGACTTGGGAATGAAACTCTTTATAATGAAACAGAATTGCGCGGCATCAACCTCTCTCCCTTCTTCCCCACCCGCCATGCTCCGTCAACAGCACAATGTTAAGGCAACCATAAGTGCGAGCGGTGGCTGACGAAAACCGAAGGAATTATTCAAAATCTGCCAAAACACCTATTAACTACATGAGCCTAGTAGTCATCTGATGGATTCTAGATGGATTACTTGTGAAATCCTGCTTGGGCAGTCCGCTTACTCTATCCGATTTTGTGGATTTCAGACGTTGCAGTAGGTTCAACGAGTAACTTCACCCAAATGCGATAAAACTCACGGCTCCCGGTGGGGCCACATACCTCAGATGTCTGGGGCGTTGGCCGTACTAAAGCCTTCCACTTGCTGTCGTGGGCTCGGATACCACCGAGGTGCTAGGTTTTCCACATTTGGATTGAAATGAGATGCACGTGTCATACACGACCTAATCCCCATCCACCGTGTACCAGACTACAACCAGGGTGTCTCTAGTCGCACATGAGTAAGGATGCCACTCAGATACATTAAGAAGAGATGGGTTATCCGTCCAGTTGTAAGCCAGCGGAGACACAGCTGATGGCATATCGCAACCTATAAAAGCACGTCAAATCCATCAAAATGAGCACTGTGATGAGTTACCATGGAGACGGGGTTCTCATTATCCACCATGCCCTTTCTCTTCCCTCTTTCAAACACCGGTAGTTTGTCCAACTGAAGCCGGTTGGGAATGAAATTGCGCGCAATGGCTAACAGATCCAAATTGCGCATTTACGCATGCCACACGCGACCTGCTTCCAAATTTATATGCTGCTGGTTACAGCTGGAGGTTTCGGATATTTGTGTGCAGTCTGAAGATGTATGTGCGGGCGGGGCGAGACAAGGTAGTATGGTCTTTACACAATGGCTTTGGTGGAGATTTTCATGGATGAGCATATAACTGAGTGGCTTTGTTGCCGGTAGCCATAATTGTCATGTTTGGCATTCTTTTTCAAAGCCCCGCTGCATCAAGGCCATTCCCATTTGCACCGAGCGATTCCAGACGCGTTGACTTGCAGGCACTGGATCGCTTCGGCTCAGACACACGTGCGTCCACAAAATCCAAGCTTTGCATCCGTCACCTGAACACATTTGAGCGCAATCTAAGCCATTAGACACCACCCCTCGGGGAATGTAACACACACGCACACGCGCACACACACCCACACACACACACACACACACACACACACACACACACAACAGTTCGACCATCATTTTCGATGATGTCCGCCATATGCCCCACAGACTGCATTGTGGGAGCAGGGACGGTGACTTACGCAGGGGTTTATAGTGCCAGTAGACTTGCGTAGCATCTACCTACACTCTCTCCTCCTCCCCCGCCTGAGCCCGGTGTCAAGACAGAGTCAAGAAGACCGGAGACGAGGGAGGCCGCAGGTGGATGGCTCGGACGGGTCCTCACCTTGGCGTTCCACCACACTCCCTGGTCCACACAACAATAACCAGGATTTCAACCAACACAACAGAGATTTGGAGGCTGGCACGGCCGAAGCCGCACCTGGGCGTGCCGCCTGGCTCGGATCTCACACTGTGGTGGGAATGCCATAATGGCCACATTAAAAAGGAGCCATTGCAGCCTGACTCTCAGACCGCCTCCAGTCAAGGAGGAGGTCCAAGTTACCCCGTCAGTTGGCAACCTTCCAAGCCACGGTTTTTAGCGCACCGTGATAGCTTCAAGCACGTCAGATTGTTTATGGTGAGGAAAGTGCGCTGAGTCGTCGCCCTCACTCTCCCTTCCCATCCCTACACCCAGCCGCCGTCCGAGCCGGTCACCAGACTGGAGTGGGAAATGGGCGCGGTGGCTGACACGGTCGGCGGACCATGACTGCGCGCGCCACAGCACGACCTGGCCCCCCATACACACAAACACCAGGATTTCACACAACGGGGGACGAACGGCGTGTCTCTCACTTGCGTGAGAGGGCCGTGGAAGGTGCTGCTTCGGCCCGTCCCCAGCCCACCAGTCCGCCACATCACACACACACACACACACACACACACACAACGCGACGAACTGCGTGAACCGAGAGCGGGCGTCAATCAGCAACCTTCCTATCCACGACGCTTGACGTGTCGGGATAGTCTTGGACTCAAGTCGCCCGTGCATTAGAAGGCGCATGGGGACCGAGTCGAGATGTGGACTTCCCACTTGCTTGGTAGGTGGCAGTTGAGTGCATGAGGTGTGTGAGTGTTGATGTTTGGTGGGGTGATGGTGGTGGTGGAGGAGGTAGGGAGTGAGTGAATGTGTGGTGTGGCCGGCAGTTATCTACCGCAGGTCGTCGTGGATGCGCATGTGGCCGAATAGGCCCATGCGATGTCTGAAAGTGCGAGGGCAGTGTGGGCAATTGAGACGAGCGTGGCGGGTATTGGTGGGTGCTCCAGGCATTGGTTCGCCAGTCTCTGTGCGATGGATTCGCAAGTGACCGACCAGGCCGATGCGTGAGGTGAATGTACGTGGACAGTTTGGGCATGTGAATTCGGCGGTGTCAGTGTCAGCTACGGAGGAGGCGGTGATGGTGATGGTGACGCAGATGGATGAAGCGAGGGTGGGGGTGTGCACGGTGGATATGATGGATGTGGTGGGTGTGTCGGGATTGCGGTCAATGCCGCTCTCGTGGGTGCGCATGTGGCCAAATAGGCCCACGCGATGCCTGAAGGTGCGAGGGCAGTGTGGGCAGTGGAGGCGAGTGCGGTGGGTATAGGTTGGTGCTCCAGGCACTGGTTCGCCAGTCTCTGTACGATGGATTCGCAAGTGACCGACCAGGCCGATGTGTGAGGTGAAGGTGCGGTCGCAGTGAGGGCAGGTGTAGTCCTGATCCTCATCACTGGATTCGGGGGAGGTGGGGGTGGTGTCGGTTGTTGTGTCGGGGTTGATGTGCGAGACGGCCGCCTGAGCGGCCGCCGCTGGGACAGTGGGGGGGAGGAGGAGGAGGAGGAGGAGGAGGAGGAGGAGGAGGAGGATGGAAGTGGTGGTGCAGAAGTAATGTCAGAGTTAGTTGGCGGAAGAGAGGAGGAAGAGGCGGGCGGGGGGACGATAGCTGGACCAGTTCGAGAGGTGCAGTTGGTTCGGAGATGTCCAACAAGTCCGATTCGTGCCCGGAATGTCCGGTGGCATCGAGGACACGTAGTGAGAGGTTGTGCGGCGGCGTTGCGGACTGGGCGAAGTTGTGATTTGCGGGCTTCGCGTTTTGCTTTGGCGGCGACGATGCGGTTGGCTTCGTAGATCGCAGCGCCTGTCTACACCGTCCTCCACCAGGTCGGTCGATCGTGTGCGAGCTCTTCCTAGTCGGTCGGGTTGATTTGCAGGCGCGTCAGGGAGGACTTCAGAGTATCCTTGTATCAACAAATTTGACCACCTTGACGGCGAGAACCCGTCGCGACGTCTACGCAGAAGAGTGGTTTGGGTAGTCGCTCGTCGCCCATGCGCACCAGGTGGCCGCTCCAGCGCAAATGCATTTGTCTCAGGATGGTGCAGATGCTGAGCATTCCCGTACGTTCTAGCACATCAGTGTCGCGGATGCGATCCTGCCAGTTCAGCCTCAGGATGCGACGGAGACAACTGAGGTGGAAGTGGTTCAGACGGCATGCCTGTCTCGTGTACACCGTCCATGTCTCTTCTCCGTACAGTAACGTCGGCAGGATGACGGCCTTGTACATCTTCAGCTTTGTGCTCAGTTGGAGACCGTGGCGATTCCAAACTGTGCTTTGGAGGCGACCGAAGGCTTGACTGGCTTTCGAGATCCTGTTGGCGACTTCGTCGTCGATCTTGGTGTTGCGGGAGAGCGTGCTGCCCAGGTACGGGAAGTTCTCCACCACTTGCAGTTGGGTTCTGTTCACGTTGATTTGCGGCGGCGCGTTGGGGGCTGTGGCCGAGTTGGGTGGCGGTTGGTGCATCATCACCGTCTTCTGCGTGTTAATGACCAGACCGAAGTTCTCGCAGGTGGCGGAGAATAGGTCCATGCTCCGTTGCATCTCCGCTTCGGAGGTGGTGTTCAGGGCGCAGTCGTCGGCGAAGAGGAGTTCGTGCACGGTGGTTGTGAATACGCGCGATTGGAAGTTCATGCGCCGTTGATTCAGGAGATGACCGTCCGTTCTGTAGGCGATGCGGATACCAGGGTGTTCGTCGCGGTAGGCGTCCATCAGCATGGCAGAGAACATAAGACTGAAGAGGGTTGGTGCCAGCACGCAGCCCTGCTTCACTCCATTGGTCACTCCGAATGCCTCTAAGACGGCTCCGTTGTCCGTGACTCGCGCCATCATACGGTCGTGCAGCTGACGCACCATCTGAGTGAATCGCTCCGGGCAGCCGAATTTCTGCATGATCTTCCACAGTCCTTCACGATTCACCGTGTCGAAGGCTTTCGTCAGGTCCATGAAGGTAGAGTACAGGTGGGTCCGCATCTCCTGGCACTTCTCCTGAAGTTGACGGGCGACGAAGATCATATCCGCGGTCCCACGATGACACCGGAAGCCGCATTGGCTTTCCGGTAGAAGGCCCTGTTCGAGATGGTTATTGAGGCGGTTGAGGAGGATTCGTGCGAAGATCTTCCCGGCGATGTTCAGTAGGGAGATGCCGCGGTGATTGTCGCAGACTTGGCGGTTCCCTTTTCGCTTTTAGAGATGCACGATGGTTGCGTCTTTGAAATCTTGCGGGACTTCACTTTGACGCCACATCTCCTGTAATAGCGCAGTCAGGAGATCCATCAGTTGGGGACCTCCGTGCTTGTAGACCTCAGCAGGTATTACGTCCGATCCGGGTGCTTTCCCGCTGGAGAGCTGCTGCACGGCCTTGGTGGTCTCCTGGAGAGAAAGCGGGAGGTCGAGGTCCACGTTGGTCTCCACTTGCGGCAAACGCTCGATGGCGGCGTCGGTGATGGTGGAAAGGCGGTTGAGGACGCCCTGGAAATGCTCAGCCCATCGCTGTAGAGTTTGCGTCTTCTCAGTCAGGAGAGTGCTGCCGTCGGCGCTGAGGAGGGGAGCAGTGCCCTTCGTCGGCGGACCGTAGACAGCTTTGATCGCGGAGAAGAAGTTCTTCCATTCGCTCCGGTCCGCGTAGCCTTGGATCTCCTCAGCTTTGCGAGCAGTCCAGGCGTCCTGCATCTCGCGCAGTCGTTGCTGAAGCTGTCGGCGACTGCGGTAGAAGGCAGCTTTGTTGTCCTCAGTGGGATGATCTACGTAGGCTTTGTGTAGGCGGTTCTTCTCAGCAAGCAGATTTCTGATGGCAGCGTCGTTGTCGTCGCACCTGTCCTGGTATTGACGGGGAGCGCGACCGAGGACGACGAGCGCCGTCGACTGGACCGTGTCTCGCAGTTGACACCAGCGGTTCTCCATGGCGGCGTTCTCTGCAGCGGCGGCGTCAGCAGCGATAGGAAGGTTGTCTAGCCTTTGAGCTAGCTCATTGCTGAAATGAAGATGATTAGCGGGCAAAGACAACAAGGCCACATTCAGCTTACCTGGGGGTCGCTTACCTTGTAGTCTCCTGCGAGGCTGTAGGCGAATACGCATCTTCGAGATGACGAGGCGATGGTCGGTCCACCCGTCAGCACCCGCGATCGCCTTCGTCACCAGCACGTCCCGCTGGTCACGCCTCCGAACGAGGACATAGTCCAGCAGGTGCCACTGACGCGACCGAGGATGCCTCCAGGTGGCCTTCTCTCGCTCCGGCAGACAGAAGAACGTGTTCGTCAGGATGAGGCGGTGTTCTGCGCAGGTTCGGAGGAGAACCAGGCCGTTGTCGTTGGAGCCGTGGAGACCGTGGGGACCCAGCACTCCTCTCCAGGCAGTATGGTCTGTGCCGACGCGGGCGTTGAAGTCGCCAAGGACAATCAACTTGTCCGCCTTCGACACAGTCGCCAAGAGGGCGTGCAGTTCCTCGTAGAATTTGTCTCTTGTGGCGGCGTCGGGGCTGATCATCGGCGGAGCTATGGCGCTGATGATGGTGGCAAACTTGCCTCCTCGCCGGAGAGGCAGACGGAGGCTCATCAGGCGGTCGTTGATTCCCTGCGGCAGACAGGGCAGTCGTCCCACGATGTCGGTCCGGATGGCAAAGGCGACACCCGCGTCACGTCGCTCTGCCCTGGGTCAACCACTCCAGAAGAAGGTGTAGCCGGCACCCACCTCCTCCAGTTGGCCTTGTTCGGAGAATCGGGTCTCGCTGAGTGCGGCGATGTCCACCTTGTAGCGCGCCAGTTCTCGTGCCACTAGCGCCGTCCTCCGTTCCGGTCGGTTGCTCCTCGGATTGTCTAAAAGGGAACAAACATTCCAGGCTGCCAGAGTGAGCGGGCTTACCCTGCCAGTCTGGCGACTGCGGCGGCGAAAAGTAGGAGTAGGAGAAGAAGAAGAATAGGCTGTAAGAGGAATAGGGAGAGAGAGGAAGAGAGAGAGAGAGAGAGAGAGAGAGAGAGAGAGAGAGAGGAAGAGAGAGGAAGAGAGAGAGGAAGAGAGTAGCTGTCACCACTTCTTCTACTCTCCTTCTCTCAGCCCTGATTGGACGCAACCAACACCAGCTCTCGCGGGCATTGCCGCCTGGGAGGGATACGATAAACCCCTTATTCTTGTGAATTCTGTCTTCTCCTACAACTCGGTATTTGGCCTGATGATCGTGGTGCTCTGAGTACTCTCACTGCTCAGACGCTATAGACCCATGCGATGAACAGACGTTCTGGGACAGTGTGAGCAAATGAACTGGAAATGACCAGTTTGTACCGGGGTTCCTGAACCAGGTTTGTCTCTCGCAATGCAGCGAATTCGCAAGTGACCGATCAGGCCGATGTGGGATCCGAAGGTGTAATGGCGAAGGGGACAGAGTGAAAGTGGGTTCACATTGTTGGTGGGAATGACGATGATGATAGTGGTGGGTAGAATGATACTGATGCCGGTGGCCGTGTTTTGCGGCCTGGGAGGCGGGTTGGTCATGTTGACGTTCCCTTGACTCGATAGATACCCAATAACGTCTATCTGTGTCCTGACTCCAGGTTTATAATACGTACACGACGGGAGGTGTTGAGCGCTTTCAAAAGTTATCCGCTATATCCAAGATTTGCGCATCGCCCTCTTTGCTTTAGCATCCCGTAAAGGGTGTCCTTCGCAGGTCGCTACACTGGTTTTTACAGTAGTGCGTTGGGTCTACTGAGTTTGGCCGAGGTTCTCCTACGTGTTCTAATTGATTTACAGGTGTTTGACTGAAGTTTTCGGGATGTACTTTTTGTGACGCCTTTGTACGCCCTGTCTGCGAACATCTGTAACAATGTCGCGTAAAATAATTCCCTAGGTAAGTGCTCGTCAAGCATCCTTAGGTGGTCGCCTCAATGCAGCTGTACCTCCCGTGGATGCTGAAGACGCCGGTTATTTCCAGGATCACAGTGTCTGGGATCCTTTTTTTGCCACCTAACTTTCAATGTTATGCAGAGTTAAGTGAAGTTTAAATTATCGAGTCTTCTTGTTTGGCTTTCATACACAGTCTGCCTCTCAAACCTGTACATGATCGTTTTCAACACACCAGGCACGTACATCCTCGGCTTATGTTGAGGTAGATGCCGTGACGGTGTGGCGACTAGCCATCCTGACTGGTCTGGCGTCATTGTCCAAGACCTCGCTGCATCAAAGTCATTCACCCCTTGCAGCGAGCCGTCCCAGACGAGCTGACCTGAAGTCACACGACCAACAGCTCGTGCATACCTGCGTCCGCGCAGTCGCAGCTGCCCATGCGGCCACTTGAACGCGCCACCCCCTGCAACCAGCAAAACAAGCCACTGGGACACCACCCCTCGGCAAATGCAACATACGCTGACTGGACACCACTTGAGCTTGGCCCACGAGCCTACAAAAGTGGCTGCCACCACTATCTCAAGGACTCTCAGGCCTGACTGGACGCAGTCAAGACCAGCCCTGGCTTCTCCAGTGACCACTGCCGCCTGAGAGGACAACACCGGGTTCTGTGCACAATAAACCCCTCATTCTGGTGTCTTCCGCCTTCTCTCTCCAACATAGGATTTCCCCTGATTATGGTGGCGCTCAGAATATCCACATTCTCACCACTTGATCACAACAACGGTTCCAGATGGAATGCCATAACCGACCGAAGCCGTGACTAGCATAGGAAAGCCTACTTGGAATGTCTTGAAATTCGTTCGCCAGGTGTGCGAATCTGTTTACTGGTGTCAGACGAGTTCCACTAACATTGATTCTGGGTTCGCTGCAGTCGTTTCTTAGCGTCATTTGATGTATGATCACTGTATTGTTCATGCTGATGGTTAGGACAAAGTTAGAAGAAACGGAATCGAATAGGTCAACACTCCGTTTCACGCCCTCTTTCGTCGTGTTTTTATCACGCCATCGCCCGAGAAAAATAAGTTCGGTTTTACAAGGACAAATATAAACATGCAGGTGCTCCGGTGCCCACAGAATTTTCAAGTACTGTATTTAAATACACTTTACAGAACTGAGATCCATTTGAACAGCACTACGATGTCACATCTCAAAATTCGTCTAGCGAGATTTTTTTTGTCGTTAAAGTAACCTCACTGATGTGCTGCGTCGCCTTTAAAAATTAGCTGACTCTGTGGGTTTCATTCACACTTTAAAGTACTTACTCCTGAATGATATTCAAGTTGCACACCGAAAATAACAATATCGATCACCGTGCCAGGAAGAAACTTCACTGTCAGCTGAGGGCGAGCGGCAACGGCCCAGTCAGCCACAAAATCGATTACACTGCAAACGCTCTCAGTTGCGCTCTGCTCGGCTGGAGTAATGTTCGCGCGTTCGTGGGACGCGAATGCGCGCTATTTGCTAGGACTGTCCTTCGACCTTTCCACACAGAATACAACCCTCCCGCTGGCGAACTTGGTTCTGGTTTGGTGGTCGGGATAGAACCAGTACCTTGGCTGTTATAGTCAAGCACAAATACGAGGATATTGCAAAGGATTGAGAGTGAAAACTCGCGTATTCCCTCTTAACGAAGACACCAAGTGTGCTTGACTTAACTTCGCAGGCATCAGGCAAGAAGCCAAGCCCTGGAAAAGTAGTGATGAGAGCGGACTTTTCGTTTTCAAAATGATACCTTATGCCTAGAGCGCGTCGTTTTTCATCAGTCAGGCCAGCCTTGACTGACAGAGACGAATATTTTTATTACAAGATCTTATTGAGAGGAATAACGGCAAAAATAAGGAACAAGTTCGGTCCCATTTTTAATCTGACTTTTGCATCTATACACGAGTTCAGCTCAAGAAAATGAAAATCCGTCAGTTACTTCGTCCAGTTCTAATCCACTGAAACCAGATCGGCCGAGACGAGTTATTCGAATGTTTAGTTTCTAGCAAACTTATAGCCTAGAAGCCTTACCATACAGGGCATGTAGACCAACGCAGGAACAGTGAGCAACAGGCCAACACGTGAGTCACAAAGAACTCTGGCTACAGCAAATGTGTGCCCAAAGCAGAGGGCACGCAGTAACCGACTAAAGCGTAGGTATTATCCATCGATCCACATTCGGGCCATGCCCATCATACTACGGCGAACAGGTAACCCTTGCCTTTGGCGCTGAACCCGACAATTAATCCTCCAGTTACACAGGTTGAACAGATTGTTACAAAAATGAGCGAAGGAGCACAAAGCGTCAGTGAGACCCTATGATCAAGTTTCCCAAGCACCGTATGCTAACGTTTACCTCAATTTCGACTTCACTGGGACTTGCATAACTGCCAGCTGCGAACTTACAAATGGTCCGGTAATTACGGGAGTAGTTAAAGTCTAACTCAAACCCAATCACCTGTTGTGTGGAGCACTGCCCAGCCTACAATCATCTCCGAAGGCATATCAAAGAAGGGAGGGTAAAGACTCGTCTGGGGAGGCGTCGCAGGTGTCACTCGCAGAGCATCTGTCAGGCAGATGACAATCCGGTAGCCAAACCCAACGGACAAAAAGCCAGACGTGAGCCATGATGCAGTGTTGGCCAAAAACTGAACCCTCAGCGAGACATGCTGATTCAGTAAATGTCCGCTGAGCGTCGTGCCTCATTAACTTTATTTTACTTCTGAGTAAACTGCCTCAAAGTTTTGACGAGCAGACTTTTGTTTTCAATAAATGCTCATCAGGTCAGCACATCTATACGGTAACAGGGGCTATTAAAACACGTGAACGATAACAGAAATCGCTAAATATCCATCTTCTCACACGAGTGGGATGGGGGAATAAAGGAGAGTAGTTTGAGCCCATCAGCACCAACCTAATCAGGTGATGGCTCGTGTGAATGGAGAGAAGGCCGGAAGAGTCCAACTTGTGGGCTGACGCAAGCATAAGGCACGGTCGAAGAGGAAAGTGGATGTCTGCAACGATGGATTGCAGTGAGTATGTTCTTGAGTAAATGAGGAACCTCGTTTTATATGTGCGCTGTTAAAAAAGTGCTTTAATGTGGTCTTTTGTAGATGACTACCTGCGTATTTCTTTCCTATTCAAAGTGAAGCCGGAAAGAAAATGTGGTCCCTTTGCCTGTTGACGCGCTGCTCTGGCTGATATTGACATGGCTTCTGTCGTAACCAAAAAGCCTTCTGAGTCCTTATTTGTGCGACTGTTCGCGGTATGTTTATGTACTTTCTGATCAAATTCGGTGATTATACCTACGCTGCAGAGAGATCACATAAACATTACAGTACGCACCCGACAGCCAAAGTGCTTCCCGTTCTGCTTCCATCTTACATATAAGTTGTAAAGGAAGCTTGTTAAGCCATTTACTCATATAGGCAAAGTTTGAATGACCATTTAATGGGAGGGGAGCTTTCCGCAGTTAGTTATGCAATGTTTGTGCAGACCTGGGAACTATAACTGTGACAAGATAAAGCGGTGCCTATTGTCTTTATTGCTTTATTATAACACACATAGTTGCCCAAATGCACAAAGTCAGAAAATTTGAAGAAAAGTGGAGTTCGCTTTTTCTGAATGCAATGTGATCATTCACAACCCACCTAAGTTGATTTACGTGCAGAGAGAAATCAAGGCTTGCATTGACAAGAGTTGATTTAGTGGTAAGGATCTATTGAAGACCCACAAGTATTACCTACTAGGTACAGCCACCTGTCTTACGGGAATAGTGGTAGTAGGGGTTTTGCGGGTGGGGCATGTGGATGGTACTTTAGATGTCAAAAATAAGGAAAGTGGCTTAAGCATTTCAAAGTGTGACTCAAAACTTACAATATCCTTACAAATGGCAACGAAATTTAACCAAGGCAAACCCAACCAATGAAAATGAACGGAGATTAGTGAGGGAACCCATCGCATTCCGCTTTTGTGAACGGTATTGCACTTTCCATGGGGCATTCTACGTACGCCATAGATACCTGGGGGCCTCCACTACATCCTTACCGATTTGATAAACCCTGACTACGCAAATTACTACCCTTTACCAGAGGACGCGCAACTACTCAGCTACGATCCACGCTTAAGGCTGATTAACACAAATTTTTGTCGATACATATTCCGAATGAAAAAATGTCTACTAGATAGCTTACTATGTGGGTAAGTAAGCCTCACGACGTTCAAGTTTATTCGCAATGGCCACTAACATTTCGGCCATTATGTATCGTCAGTCCAGTTTAATTTACTGAAATACTAGGCACACTGCGGTCTGTCTTTTGGAAACCAAAGACTACGAATAGACAACAGGCCTGAAATAAAGGAGGTGAATGCACAGAAGTGAGAGAATTATGTGACCGAATTAATCAACACATTTAACCGAAACAATTGACGTGTGCTTAATTTGTTCAGATCGCTCAAAGATAACGTCTAATTGAGGTGCTCCCAACAAAACAGAAACTTTGTCAGTTTGCGACTAACTGGCATGGAGGACCATGTCAAGCTAGTCAAATGCTATTTGCTGGCTCTTGGTTAAAGGAACTTCCAGTCACCTATGTAAATAATACGACAAAAGAACATTGCTAAGACTCTATATACGCAAAATGCATTTCGTGTGCCCAAACAATGAGCCTCGCATGCGTATTGACCACTGCCTTTCGGAGCTTCAAGCAATTCTCTCAAACAACCCAGAATCCTTGCACACAAATTGTATTTTGTGTAATAGGTCTGTATAAACGTGTGTTCCTCAATTGTTTTGTTTAAAACATTGGTAAATATTTATGAAAACATAAAGGGGTACGAGCAGGTTTTCCTGAGAAGATTAAACGAGAGCATTAACTAAACCCACGGCTCATGCTGTCTGCTAAACATTAAAAAATTTGCACAAGCAGCGGGACTACGCCGAAAGGATGGATGCTATTGAGGTGATACTATATTCATAGTCATTTACAGAGGTGGCAGGTAGGCTAAAGAAATAAACCGTAGCATGCCAACACGTATAGACGGATCAATTACGGTTCATATTAATCAGTAGTGCACTTCTTTCCAGCATTTTTTTAGCTGAAAATGCATTGAGGAATTTAATGTAATTCTTCATGAGCTTCAACGCCTACTGCGCATGTTGCCATGCCTTCTGTAGTGGTGCTTCGCAAGGAAGGCAAATTAAAATTATATTGCAGAAAATATGACAACCAACCTCGAAATTACAGCTGATTCTGGAGGCTGTTTACGATACCAATATTTGTATGTTTCTATAAACTAGCAGGTAGTTGAAATTCTTTTGTAAATCGAACACGATATTTAAGCTTTAGATCCAAACGTAGACGGCTCGATAACTGATTCTATTGTTGCTCACAATATCGCATAAGCATAATCAGGCGAAACTGGGGATTTATCAATACGCCTCAGTAAACCACACAGTTATCTAGTTTAAAAATCTCCCAAACAACACTCCAGTGACGGGTATGTGGTTGACACTGGCCGCTGGAAAAAGCAGATCCAAGTCACCTGAGTCTTGACTACAGGACGTCGTAGGCACTTCCATTTTGCGTTGGAATCGAGAGTCTAAAATTTACGCCGGTGAAAGCATGACAACCAGCAATCAATGCATGAATGGATATTTAAAGACCATTCTTTCACTACTTTAAATATTTCTGATCTCAGCGGACTGGACGTGAACCCCGTAAATCAGGTATGAGGGCGGTTAATCAGAAAACCTCCAGTGAACAACTGCAGCTAGTGGATGGCAGCAAGTATCATGGACTTCTCATGTGAGTTCTTATGAGTTTTTTCGAATGCAACGTTAGATTAAACACCAGGGACCATTTTATTCTCATACCCCTGTATATTGCCAAAAACCTAAACGAAACAAACCGTATGAAATCTAATGGGTGACGTGTGGGACTGACCGCTCAAATAAATTTTGACTACGCCACTAACCTATACAGTCTTTGTCCCCGCTGCGTCCTCCGGCTAGTGTGCTGATGTCACATGCGACTGGTTCAAAATATCCCAATGGAGAATTCCCTAAAATCTGAAACGGGGTTGGCAGACCGAGGTCCACATTTTGGAGGTGATATTGCAGATTCCGCATCCTAAAGTTGTCTTGGGGTGACCCATCCAAACCTATTCAGTTTTGCTATTTTTAAAACTATAACACAGAAACATATCTTTGATATAAAGTCCGAATGTGCTATGAAATTGAAAGATTTTACTATATCTATCCTTATTGGCGCGACCTTCCGCCAACCAAATACTCACTTGTTCGGCAGGGTTAAATATTCAACCGTTTTTCTACATGTCCTATAAGTCTGAATACAAACAAAAAATCAGTCTTGAAAATTTAAGTAATAGCGGCTATTTTGTTCCCAAGGAATCTTACCTATTTTCAACATACATTAGGTGGACTAACTCAAGAAGTCTACCGAAATTCCGAATTGCGCTTTCGTTTCAAAAATAATGATTAATTCGGATTGTAAAACTAATCATCATGCAGCATAATTCTATAATAATCCCGTTACCTCAGGATGTTGGCATTCGAACGAACTTCCTTTCGGCTGCATGGAAAAACTATGCACTGTAAAAAATGACTACTTATGTAGCATGCACTTTTTTCTCATTTATTCTCGATGCCCTTAAATATTCACTTATATTCCACGGAAAACATGTATAAAAATATTCATCCTTTTGTTCATTCGGTAAAAAATGACGTCTTCTTCAAATTTTATACTCGAAGGAAGGATATAACTCGGTTTCAAAAAAGTGTCCAATTGTGAGATTTTAAATGCCGTGAAATGGCCGTTCACAAGACGTCATGCCTCTGCATTTACCTGTGCGGCTTGTAAAGTTAACAATATGGCTTAAATCCACTGCTAAATTTTATGAACCCATATCGTCTCATCTTAATACCGTAGTGAAATGTGCGGTTTTCTGTAAGTGGAAAATATACGGTTTGTAGTTTAGAAACCTTGAATGCAAGTTTAACGTCAAGTCGGGGTTCAAAATTATTCGGGAATTGAAAAAGTTTTTAAAAAACGTATTATGCCCTTCCTTCGAGTATAAAATTGGAAGAAGACGTCATTTTCCACCGAATGAGCAAAAGAATGAGTATTTTTATGCATGTTTCCCATGAAATATAATCGAATTTTTGAGGGCATCGGAAATTAATGAAAAAAGTGCGTGCTACATAAGTAGCCATATTTTACAGAGTATAGTCGGAAGGAAGTTATTTCGGAAGCTAGCATCCCAAGGTAACTGAAGTATTATAGAACTGTGCTGAAACATGATTAGTTTTGCAGCCCTGTTTAATTGGTATTTGCTAAACAAAAACGCATTTTAGTACTCTGGTTGACATTTCATGAGTAATCCTTCCTAATGTATCCTTGATATGCAGTCTTAATGTGCTATAAACTTAAAATATTTTAATATATCTATCATCATATCCTTAAACAGCTGAATCTACTCCTAAAACGGGCCAAGCGGTCAATGCGATGGACCGTCACGGGGCTAGGTCGAAGTCCGGCAGACGCCTTCGGGAGTGTGAACCCATAACACATGCCAACATTGGGGTGCGGCGGCAGGCTCAGTTGCCGGCTGACGTACAGTCCATTGCGGTTCGTGTCGGCGCCCAGTTTTGTCGTTGTTTAAAATCCTGTTCAGGTGGTTGTTGTGCACCAGGAGGTGTGGTGGTATACCTGGGTGCGGGTTCTCGCCGTGCCGACCACATGCAATCTCTCCCATCTCCGGTCTTCTTGAATTGGTAATTATATCGGGTTCAGGTGGTGGAGAAGTAAGTGTGGTGGACGCTGCGCAAGTCGCCGCCCCTGCTGTGGGACGCACGGTGGACATCGTTGGAACCGACGGTCGAACTGCCATAAAGCTGAGTCTGTTGCCGCAAACCCTGCCACAGAAGCGGTATTTCGCTGTACAATGGGGTATGCTAAGTCTAC